TGCCAAGGAAGCTATGGGTGGTCTCTGGAAGGATTTATGTTCCCTATTAATGACTTGGTTATAGTCATTTAAAGAAAAGACCACAGCAGCTTCTCTTCTGAGAAAAGATTATCCGTGATAGCAATGGCCCTCATGCACACTTTTCTTTTTCTTTCCCCAAATCGCTGCCGTTTCGCCTTCTTAATCACCCAATCTTGTACTTTTTACATCTTTCATTTTGCTAGTGTCTACCTCTTGTGCTTTAGTCTAACTCTGGAGCGTGAGAATAGTCCTATGATTGAGGCAAAATGCTGCTGAGGATGGTCTTGATGCCGCAAGGACTTGGTGGCCTCTCCTTTGCCTTAGTTAGTTATCACCCCCCCCACCCCAGTTTCATGTTTCCACAGCACCCTGGGCATCCCCTCTGGTAACTCTGTAAACCTTACCGTACCTATTTCTTTCACGTCCATCTTCCCTACTTGGCTGGGAGCCCTGTTGAAGCAAGTCAGCTTTGCTCTCTTCACATCTCTTTCAATTGCCACTTGGTCACTCTGTACATATTTGTGGAATAATAGCCTGAATGAAACATGATTGACTACAGCAGTGCTGTTTTCCTGTACCAGGGACACTGGAGATTCTTGCCTGTTTTCTATCAGTGGACACACTTTTCATACATTTTCTCGGCCTTTATTTCCTACCTTCATGACAGATGATGTACTATTATAAGATATTTCACTATTAAAAAAGGGGTTTCATGTACATCTTATATGTGAAAATGACACATCCTTACCCCCCTGAGAAGCTGGAAATCGTATGAACTCATCTCTCCCCGCCCCGATTTGTTACACAAAGAACCTGAGGAGATTCCCCAACCCCACTTTATTTTCAGAAACGTGTGAGACCTGCTCCCAAGCACCTGCCCTGGTTCTCACTCTTCTTTGTCTTCCACCTAAACTTTTAGGAGTCAGAGCTCCAGGTCCAGAATTCACAGCCTGGAAGCCTGAAAACTTCACCCCATTGCCATCTCAACAGGGTCTGCTTGGCCCTGTGTGAATGAGCCTTGGTGCCTCGTTGTATCTAAGAGAACCTTGAGTGTGGAGCGAGGGCAAGGCCAGAGTGAGAACCTGTCTGTGTGTGGGGTGGGAGTCCTGACCCGGGTAGGAAGAAGGTTGTGTATTTGAATGCCTGAAATCCAGCCGGGTCAGTGCTATGTATACACAACTTTTCTTCTGGCCCTAGCTTTGAGAAAAATCAACGGTGCTTCACTTTCTCTTAGCATTTTCATAATTGTCCAGTTTGAGTAAAGACATACCCTTGGAACACTATAAAGACATATTGTTCTGGAAGGGGTATCTAATCTCCTCCCTTCTCTCTTCCTCCTTCTTCATCTCCTTCATGATCATGATTATGATCATCTTCATCACCATCTCCTCCTCTTCCTCCTCCTTCTTTATCTTCTTCATGACCATCATCAGCATCACCATCATCGTCATCACTTCATCACTATCTATTGAGTCGATGAAGTGTTTTATTCTTTTCACATGTCTAACCATCTATTAATTCATTTTGGTCATTACAGAAACTCTGTATAGTAAACCAGTAAGGATTAAATATGCCTATTTTAGAGATATGAAAATTAAGGATCAGATAGATAATGCTACTTGTCCAAGACACAGATAGTGGCAACAATAAACCCAGCTACCTTCCTCCTGACAGTAGTCACACAGTTTTCTTTGGGAACAAGGAGGTTGAGGATGGAAAATGAGAAAGGGAAGGAAAGACAAGAAGATGGAAGAAGCAAGGTGTCGAGATTGTAAAGAAGTGAGGCTCAGATTAGGACTCCTGGTCCAGGGTACTGAGCAGGCCACTCTCCTGACCTTAAAATTTGATCTGAGAGGCCCCTGAAGGTTGCAGGGAATTCTCAGTGAACAGCCACATCTTTACTACTTTGAAGATGTGGTTTTCATATAGTCTAAAGATAAATGGGGCTGCTGAATGTATTTGTTATTATCGTTGCTATTTTTTGAGCTGGTAGACCTAAATACAAGGTTAAGGCTTCCATACCTTTGAGGTATAGAACGATACTGGCAAAAGGAGATCCATACAGGAACAATGACAGCTGCACCATTTGGAAGGTTGAATTCTCCCTTTCTTGTCTCTGAACCACATGCAGCAAGCTTTCCAGAGCTGTGAATCATCCATTCAAGGGAAGGGAGGAGAACAGAAAATTAAACATAATTATGCTTTACTAATTGAAATCAAATACAAAATTCAATCTCCTATGAGTTGCAATGCTCATGTTTAAGTAGGGTGGAAGTATTATTAACCTGACTCTATTTTAGCAGGTTGACTTAGCTTTTCTGGATAGGAAATAATTCTTTTGTTGAATTTCCCTACTGAAGAAGGGGACACGGCTTAGTGGCTCACTCTGAGTCACAGGGATCAAGCTAGAGCAGACATTGTGGAAAATAGAACTTAAACATGTCAAGTTTGCATTTCTTTTCAGAACCATGAGCTTTCAACCATATCGCCAAACAGACCTTTAAAATAAAAATCCTCAAGATCTCAAGGCTTAGGCTTCTGCTCGATTTCTCCAGAGAATTTTAGCCTATGGTTACATGCAAGAGTGTATGAATACTTTAAGAGGGATCCCCCACTTTTATTTCCCAGGTCAGAATGGCTTATTAACCATCAGCCAACCATATTAAAAATGGATTTGCTTGTCATATTTATGTGAGGACACATACTTACTAGGTTTCTTTTTAAGCAGCACTTAAGGACTTGATGTTCTGGGTTTACGGGGACAGGTAGACAGCCAGGGAGGTGGAAAATGGAGAGTAGGTGTGACTGAGGGGCTGATCAATGTGTGTCTATTCAGGATAGAAGAGCTGAAGGCAGCCTAGAGTAATGGTCATTCTTAGCTGGCATAAAAACATCTGTGAAGCCTTTCCTACAAGAGATGCTCCTTTGACCCCCTAAGGGATAAGCTCACTCCCTTACCTAGCTGCCACTGAACTCCAAAAGAGCCCATGTTCATCTAAGGAAGCCAGAAACCCTGAGGGCCACTTTTCTTGGAAGTAATCCCCACAAAAGCATAAAAGGATGGGAGGGAGGATGAGAGGACAAAGAAAGACACAGGTAAGACTTTCTTCCAGTTGTTCTCAATCCCAGCTTCCATACGCATATTTTTGAAAGGACGGATGCCTGGGCCCCACCTAGAGATTCTGATTCCTCAAGAAGTCTGAAATGGAGCTCAGGAAGCTGTCGCTTGAAAAGCCGCACAGCTGACTCTGGTGTGTAACTAGACCCACTCCTTTCTCTGCTTATAAAACAAGGCCCCAAATGAGCCAGCCCACAGGACACTCTTCTGAACAAGAAGGAATTTTCTTCCTTCAAACAGGGTGTGTGTGTGTGTGTCTATTTTTATCTATATCTTCTTTTACTTTGGTAGTGAAGGAATATATGTTACTTTCAGTTCAATATCCACTTTCTTATCTGGAAAAAAATTATGTTTAAGGTTGTTCCTGACTCGGGCCTGTCAGTCCATTCCTTGCCGGAACTGGTTAAGATAAGGAAAGCTGTACCCCTTACAGGGACCACTTCCTTTGTGCTGTTTCAAGAATCCTCCTGCCCTGCAGACAGGATTCCCTGGAAGATTCTCAAATCTGCGTCTTTCTGGCCATATCAGAGACGGGATACTCCCAGAATTCGAGGGATGGGGGTAGGTGTGGGGATGGAAGTGACAACACAAACACGCCATCAAAACCCGTTAATCAGGTTGCATTAAGCTTTATAACAACACGGTTTTCATTTAGCAGGAGAAATGACAGTTTAATAACAGCTGAACAGATTACCTCCCCCACTCATACATATTTCCAATTTTACTAGAACAGTTCCCGGTTTTGGAGATCTGTGAACAGTGCTTCATGTCGAATGCTGTGTTTTGATGGAATCGAATGAATGGAAGGGACACTTTATTCAGCAGCCCTTGATGGGGTGTCTGCAGACAGCCCTTGCGCTCCCCCACCCCCATGAACTGCATCTGACAAATGGAGTCAGCCCTTTTGTCACTGCCCCAATATGTGCCAGCTCTGAAAACAGCAAAGGAAGTGTGAGACGACTGTGAGGGGGGAATGGTGGGGCAAATAGAAGACAGGTGACTGGTCCCCTCCTCCTTGTGCTGCTAAGGGTTCTTCATAACAAAAGATATGCCAACTTTCGGGTCCTTGCCCCTCTGGGGACCCTAAAGGACAGAGCCCACCCCAAAAGCATGACTCAGAACCATGGTGCTGAGAGAGGGTCTTCAGGTGCAGAAACCTCCCACCAAGAGGACTGGCTTTCTTTTTTTCCCTCCCAGATGTGGCACTCGTCTTTCCCAACTTCAGGGCTCTGAGGTCAGCTGCAAGCACACTGCTCTGAGAGCAGCCCTGCGGGCCTCAGTGTAACACCAGGGCATATGCTGGGCTTCTCCACAACCTGGGCTGCTCATGAAGAGAGAGACTCAACCCTCCTTAGAGGGCTCTTAGAAAGAAGGCTTCCAGGGGTATTGGCTTTTTTTGGTGAGGAACGTGCATGCCTCTGCCTTCATAAGATGAAGAGAGAGGAAGTCGAAGGGTTGTGGGATGAGACCTTTAAAGAGAAGGCTAGAGACACCTTAGAGGGAGGACCTTGCTCCTTCGGAGTCCTGGAGCACTCAGCCACAATTAATATTCTGGGGAGACGCCAAAGCGGACGTTTATACAGCAGGGGCCTCTGCCAGACACAGGGCTAGAACTCAGGCTTCCCAAAACAAAGTGAGAGCCCCCAAAGGGAGACCTTCCTTTCTTTTTTATCACTTAAACATTCATGGCACTGTCTCTGACCTTGACAGCTATTTGTTCCGTCTTCAGACTCTATTAACTAGCAGAAGACGAGAATTAGCAGTGGATTCTGGTGGCCATCTGGTCAACCAGATGCTGCTGGTTCCTCTATGAGGATGCCATGGGATCCATCCCTTTGCCTAAGCCAACAGCATATGGAAGTATTCCTGACTGGATAAAGGAGGAGATCTACTTGGCACTCTAGCAAGGCTGAGGTTGCAGACCCTGGGAGGTTCAGGACTCAGGTAAGGAGCCTCCTTAACTATTCACTTGCCTTCCCTCCACATCTCTAGCCTCATTTGTCACCCTCTTCCTGTTCCCACTGGAAATCTTGGCCAGTCATTTGGTAAAACATCATGTTGAAGGGTTTGTAGAATTTCCGCAGTCTGTGGATCACATCTGGGTCGATGCGGGGATGAGTCCGACCTTTGCTCTTGCCTAAGCACCTCGGGGCACTGCTGTCTTCCGGCTTCTTTAGGCAAGGGAACCCCTTGGTCTTGTTGAAATAGAAATGTTTCTCAGTCACAACACGCTTGAGGCCTAGAAAATCCTGTACTTTGGCCATTTCCCCAGCAGGGTCCACTATGAGCCGCTCGCCACTGACGAAGAGGATCTGAGAAAGGGGGAAGTACTGGAGCCAGTTTTCCAGGTGCAGAGCGTAGATCCCGATTCGAATGGCGCTCCAGGAGGCATCGATCAGCCCCAGGGTCCGGTTTTTGAAGGCCAGCACCTCGAAGGTGGGGATCTCCGGTTTCTTTGACAGTGTCTGGGTGTAGTCAGAGATGGCCCTGGTCACGGGGTCTCTCACCACCACGATGAGTTTGATGTCCTTGGCCATGGAGTGGATGCGCTTGGGAGCCTCACTGGTCACAAAGTAACTTGGCGTCTTCTCCATGGTTATCTGTCCATCCAAAGTCTTAGGCATCACATTTCTGGAAGAGGGAAGAAAAGGAAAGACCCTGGTTATTCCTATCCAGAAATATCTTAACTTTGGTATGAAATGTGTGAGATAAATAGCCTAGTGGGGAGCTACTAGATAAAAGTCATTGATAAACACTTGGCAGTTCTTTTTAACTATATGTCTCAGTATAGTTCTGACTATAGTATTATCAGAAAAGGCAGCAAAAGGCTTACGCGTTCATTCTCGGGAACCTTATTCACCTGGCTTAAATTGCCGCTCCTCCTCTGACCAGTTATGTTTAACCCAGATATACTCTTAATTTCTCTATGTATTAGTTTTATAATCTCTGAAATGGAGATAATAACACCTACTTCACACGGCAGTGTAAGGATTAAGGGAGATCATGCTTGTAAAGTGTTTAGCACAGAATCTGGCATGTGTAAGAGCTTAATAAATCAAGGATATTATTATTGCTGTAGTGGCTTTCCGAAAATGTTTGAGCTCAACAAGACCTCAAAGA